CATTTACTTCTCTGTGGTCGATGAACCAATCGGCCATCCATCAGCTTCTGCGTACGCGTCGCGTTCCCAATGACTCCGACCAAGGGCTGCGGTTAAGAAACACAACCACACATGGAATCCTGACTAAGATAGAGGTCAAAGGTTTGTGTGTGTTGGTTTGTGATTGACTCAATCCAATGACCTAGAGGAATGTGAACCTTGGGAATGAAGAAGAACCGCTATTTCTTGGACAATAGTATTTGGGGTAAGAACAGGCTATACGAAACTCTCGGTGGGAGTTGGTAGTCCCCTGGATTCAGGCTGCAGGCTGGGACACCAGCATCTGAAATGACTCTCAGCCCAGAGGGCTACATAATGAAGATCACACATTTTAATGTGAGCCCATCCTTAACAACTAAAAAGCTCTTCTCTGTTGCCTGTCACCAAGGAAAAAATGAGTTTGGCTAATGAAAGAGGAAGTAAGGAGGAAATGGAGAGCATGAGGTGGGAGGAGGGAGTCTGACGGTTTTGGTTTGAGTTTTTGCTTTTCTCTAGTGGTTGTGAAGGTGAACTTACCAAAGATTAGAAGTCCAAGGTCACTAGATCTTGAAGTGCTGGAGTTCTTGATTCGTGCATGAAACTCCTTTGGATTAAAAGAAGCTTTTTCTTTGAAAAAAAAATGCTTTATTTTCCTGTCAAATTTTTACTTTTTTATTTTGCAATAATGTCAAACTTATGGAAAAGTTGAAAGAATAATACAACCCAGAATCCCTAAATATTAACATTTACCACATCTGCATTGTCATTCTCTCTTTATATCCATATGTATGGGGGGTTTTTGTTGCTGTTGTTCTATTTTTAATTGAAGTATCATTGGTATACAATATTATATTAATTTCACGTGTACGATATAGTAACTTGACATTTGTATACATTACAAAATGCTCACTACCTATCACCATACAAGTTATTATGTTATTATTGATTATTTTTCCCATGCTCTACCTCTTATCTCTGGGACTTATTTATTTTCTAACTGGAAGTTTGTAACTCTTAATTCCTTTCACCTGTTTCTCCCATTCCCCACCCCCACCCCCTGACCACCACTGTCCCAGCAACTGCCTGTTTGTGGCTTGGCAACCACATCTTCCTTATCCATTCATCTATCGATGAACACTTAGACTGCTTCCTTAACATGTTTACTTATTTATATAAATATAGTTATTATTTTCTTAACTTTGAGAGTAAGTTGCAGACACGGTGCTACTTAATCTTTAAATACTTGAGTGTGTGTTTCCCAAAAGCAGGGCACTTTCTACATAATCATAATAAATTATAAAAATTGAGAAATGAATATTTATTGAGTTTGCAATATTATTTATCAGATCAACAAATCTTACTCAAATTCCACTAGCTGAGCAAATAATGTTCTTTCTGGCAAAAGAAAAAAAAATAGTTTTCTGACCCAGTATCACATATTGCACAAGTTATCATATCTCTTCAGTTCCCATTTATCTGGGGGCAGTCTTCACTCTTTCTTTTCCTTCATGACTTTGACATTTTTAAAGAATATAGGCCATATATTGTGCAGAATTGGGAGATACGTCTTCATGCAGGATTAGCTTCCATTTATGCAGGAAAGTGCCGCTGTGTCCTTCCCAGTGCACAGTACCAGGAGGCCCATGATGTTGGTTTGTCCCACAACTAGTGGTGTGAATTTTTGTTACTTGATTAAGGTGGTATCTGTCAGATTTCTCCACTGTGAAATTGTTATTGCTCTCTTTTTAATTAGTACATTTCTCATGGGGAGATATTTTGAGATTCTATAATTATTGTTTCTTATCAGAATTTCACCTAATAATTTTAGCATCCATTGATCATTCTTGCCTGATGTAATTGTTACTATTACAGTTGCCAAATGGTGATTTTTCTAATTCTATCATTTCTTTTACATTTATTAGTTGTAAATGTAATAAATTACATTTATTCTTCTATAAAATGAGGCAAATAACGTGCCCCCTTTAACTCAAATGTTGTTGGGAGAATCAAATGAGATCTATATTTAAAAGTGCAGTGTAGAATACTTCACAAATGCAAACCATTCTTTCGCTATTCCTCCCCTTCTACTTGCCCAGCAAAACATGATGACATAGAAAGTTTCCACTCTCTGATCTAGGATACATTAAACCCCATGAGCATTTGCCTTCTTCAAATAACTCTATGAAATTTGGATTGCAATGAAGGCTACAGAATCCATTTAGAAAACAATTCAATATTTAGTTATTCAATTATTCAATTTATTGAGGCTAGAGTTGAACAACACACTATACTAATTGAATTTATAAATACAAAATTTCCTTAAAATTTCTAAAAATGAAATTTCCCAAGAGATAGTTACACCAACACCTTACCTCAAAATTATACACTTTTTAATATACTTATATATTTAAGAAGGGAAAATTCTACTAGTTGGGCATTAATTTTCCATAAATAAGTAACTCCTACACAGGAAAGATTTGGGAAACTAACTCAAATTATTAAGGCATGGTCATCTAAAAACTTGACGGCTTTAGAAATAGACACAGCCATATCAAAAGAATTGGCCAGTTTGCTTAAACCCACTATATTTTAATTTTCACCTCTGACTTAGTTTTATCAAAGGACAGTCTCTTACCTCTTCTCTCTTTAGCTAAAGAATTTTTACTGGGAAGAAAGATGAAAGCAGAGACCAAAATTTCCTTGAGAAGTGAAGATGATATATCAAGTGATTTTTTTTTTTATCTGAAGTAATCTGTTCCTTATAAAGCAGTAGAAACAAAGTTGCATGAATGGGAGTACATGAGTGTATGTGTATAATTCTATCTGTGTGTATGTTTCTATTCCTTATTAGAGAAAGAAATATTTATATATACAGGAAAAAAACTGGAAGAAAATATGTACCAAAAATATTAAGAGTCAAATGTGATAATCATTACTCCATTCTTTGTTTTTTTCTGTATCTGCCAATTTTTTTTTTACCATGAGCATAAGTTACTTTTACAAACAGAAAAAAGATGAACAATTTTTTTAAATGGTTCAAATGAAAAACCAGGAAATAGCTGTAAAAAAGAAAAAAAAAAGAAAAATGAAAGCCCACTTTTATAAAATTGCTTGGCCTTGCAAGCATTTTGAACATAGGGTCCATGAACAGTCATGATTCCCAAAGCATCTGTGAGGTCTAAACTTCAACTCCAGGCTTATCCATTGTCCTCTATGAAGCACTCAAAGCCCTTCTTGATTTTAAGGGTGGATCCAGATCAAGGGCAGAGATATGTGTGAACACAGGGCAAAGCAAGGAAACTTCCTGCATTGAAAGGGAAGGAAACAATGTCTCTCCTGCAGGTGATGTTCTCTGTGACTCCTCTTGCTTCCAAAGGCAGAGAGAGCCAATGCAGACCCAGTGCTGCTCCTATGTGATGTGGGACCTAATGATCTCCTTCCTTTGGTTTGCCTATGACTGATCTAGGAAGTCTGAGCTGCCATGATGCTCAGACCTGAGGCAAACAGGCAAATGCCACCCCCCACACTCATCCCCCATCTCTGCCTGGTTCTTGTTCACTTCCTACTACGGGATAGCTTGCTCTTCCCGAGCAATCAGTACCCACAATAAAAGTGATAGTATAGGCTGTCATTGTAAATGACAAACATTGCAATATATATGGGATTTTATATCCCAAATAGTTTGAAGTCTCACTCCATGATACTTTTGATATCATGCTTCCAAATTAGTATCACACTTGTTTTCAATAATACAATTGCTTGATTTATTCACAAATGTTATTTTGCAGCCAAACATTGTATAATAATTAGTACAACTTTTAAGATGGCATATGCATTTAAATGGTCAAGACTATAAAATTAATAGGGGTACCTGGGTGGCTCAGTTGGTTAGCATCTGGCTCAGGTCTTGATCTCAAGGTCATGAAATCAAGTCCTACTTTACAAAAAAAAATTATAAAATTAACATAGTATTCTTTCTTTAACATTTCCAAAACAACTGTGATATTTCTAAATTGGTACAGTCAGCCTACATGAAATAGTAATTTTTTTTTTTATTTAGGAAAAGATAAAAAGGTAATACATGCTGAGGGGAAATGCAAGTGGTAGTTTTCTGAAACCCTCCACCTGTTTAATTTTTTGCTCCTAGGCCACCTCTAGCCTGGACTAATTAGTTTTCTAGGTCATCCTGCTGCACTTATGGTCAAAGCCTCATGATTTTCCGGAAAGAATTTGCATTCTTTTATCCTATGTCATGTGATTCTTTTTCTCACAGAAACTAGTGGGCAAAGAGAACAGAATCTGAGGTTTCTTGATTCTGTTTGGGATGCTGTGCCTTTGGCCATCATCCCTCAGTCTCTTCCCATTCATCTCACCCTCTGCCCAGGTGCTCCCTGGTGGCCATGCACTTGCATAATCTCTGCATGGAGTTGGGATGATCTGAGTTGGGTTGAAGAATGACAATAACCCACTGAAAATAAGAACATGGAAACCAACTTGGAAATATTTTTATAGTGGCAACTACTTTGCCTGACAGTATAAAAATAATTAAGAATCTAATCAATCAATTGAAATTGAACATTTTCTAATAGATTCGCCTATTCCACTCTTGAATTTCACGAGGTCGCAAGCGATAAGATTTTACCATGACAGTCTCTGTTTCGGATGGATGAATTCATACATTCATTCACATCAACACAAGAGTTGCGTCAGCTTTGCCATGGAACCTCTCTCCTGTTCACTTTTTCTGGCTGTTTTGGTTAGTTTTTGCATTACTTTAGAGGAATGGTTGAGCACTTAAAAGGCCATCTTCCTAGCCAAATAATATTCTTTTTTAACTATTCACTCAAGTGCATTAAAATATCTGAAGTCGTCAGTGTTGGGTTATAGCACCTTGATGGTTCTAATTTGAGTTTTCTTTCTAATTTTGAACTCTCAGGTCACCGGCTTCTTTTATTGTTCAAGAAAGGAGAGTCCCTATCCTATACAGAGGGGGAAAAATGTTCTTCTGGGTGTTAGCCCTCCTAATCCTTTGTGGTTTTCTATGGAATTATAAAAGACAACTAAAGATTGCAGACATCACAGATAAGTATATTTTCATAACTGGTTGTGACACTGGCTTTGGAAATTTGGCAGCCAGAACTTTTGATAAAAAAGGATTTCGTGTAATTGCTGCCTGTCTGACTGAATCACAGTCAACAGCTTTAAAGGCAGAAACCTCAGAAAGGCTTCACACTGTGCTTCTGGATGTAACCAACCCTGAGAATGTCAAGAGGACTGCCCAGTGGGTGAAAAATCAAGTTGGGGAAAAAGGTGAGTGATGTCGGGTGGGAAGAATGGAGGGGGTGTTGTAAATTAGCTACAGCTAAATAAAATGTGTTTGGATCTTAAATGACCTTTCAAGAAAATGTCTCCTAAATGCCAGCTATGGTACTGGAGAATCTTGGAAAAATCTTAGGATAAAGCCCTCAGTAGTTTTGAGCTGCAAGCTCACTGTTTGCATGAGAGAAACAGCCCACATAATCCTCAGTCTTAAGTCCCAGTGGGTGAATTTAGAAGTGAGTTTGAGGTATTGACTTTCCCTGCACTTCTCTCATAAAATTCTAGTTTAGCTACATAAAATTCTACATTTAGCTACATTAGCTACATTTTAGCTACATTCACAGTGAAGGAACTTGGGGCTAAAAGCTACAGGAGATCATGCAAGCAATCAATGTATGTGAATTTTCTCTATCATATCTACATTATTTAGTTGAGACTCCAGACTACAAAAGCAATGGCTTAATAATGCTCTTGACAATTTTTAATGCTTGAATTCCAAATAACTTTAACAATACTAAATGTTTTCCATCATAAAACAATTGATGACTGGATTTTTTTTATTTTTTTACTAAAAATAGATATGAAGTAGATTGTATTGCTCTTTGTAAAAAATAGTTTATAAATAATCTCTGGCTTTGCAATCTAGCAAATGGATAAAATAGACCAATTTACTCGGCATCTACGATAAAAAAAACAATAAGTCAATCAGAGAAAGACAATTATCATATGATCTCCCTGATATGAGGAACTTGAGAGGCAATGTGGGGGTTTTGGGGAGTAGGAAAGGAATAAATGAAACAAGATGGGATCGGGCAGGGGACAAACCATAAGAGACTCTTAATCTCACAAAACAAACTGAGGGTTGCTGAGGGGAGGGGGATAGGGTGGCTGGGTTATGGACATTGGGGAGGGTATGTGCTATGGTGAATGCTGTGAAGTGTGTAAACCTGGCAATTCACAGACCTGTATCCCTGGGACTAATAATATATTATATGTTAATAAAAAAATAAAAAATTATTTTTAAAAAAGACAAAAAAGCAAAAGGCTCATTCAGACAGTGTCAGTATTTTACATGCAGAACCAGAAATAGAGTTACTGTGAGACTAGCTTCCAGTTAACAGAGCTCTAACTGTTTTAATTTCGCCTCCCTACCCTCTCAGAGAGTAGTTCCTTCCCAAAACTGTAAAGCATTTCAGAGCAGGAATATATCTACAAGGAGGAAATGGCAGAGTTGTGTAAAGCAGGGGCTGTATTTCCATCAAGGATGCCCATGTAAGTGCCATCTTCCATCACACCTGCTTCCTTTCCACTCTGATCTAGGTCTCTGGGGTCTGATCAACAATGCCGGTGTTCTCGGCGTGCTGGCTCCCACCGACTGGCTGACAGTGGAGGACTACAGAGAACCTGTTGAAGTGAACTTGTTTGGCCTCATCAATGTGACTCTAAATTTGCTTCCCTTGGTCAAAAAAGCTCAAGGAAGGATTATCAATATCTCCAGCATTGGAGGTCGGCTGGCGTTCAGTGGAGGGGGTTATAATCCATCCAAATACGCAGTAGAAGGCTTCAATGACAGCTTAAGGTAAAGCAAACATTGACATATTAGGAAATAATAGCTGTTAATGTTTACTGAATGTTAATTATGTACTAGACACTCTAGTTAGAGCTTTAAGTTACTCCCAATTTGTAGGCAATACCACTGAAACAAAGAAATTAAGCAACTTGCCCAAGGTCACCCAGCTGGTAAGTGGTAGAATTGAGATTTGAACTTAAGTCTTTCCAAGTCTTTTTTACTTTTTTGCATTAATGTATGATGCTGACAGTGATGGTAAATTTATATTCTACAGGTCAGTGTGTTATATAGTCAGGGAATCATATAGAAAACCTAAGGCAGGGTAGAACTCTCCATTGGTATAACTGTCAGTTGCAGAAACAATAGTACCATCTTATTTAAACCCTCAGTAGAAAATTATCTGATAAGGTAAATGTAATTTTCACAAAATAATAACTCAGCTATGCAGCTTTTGTCCCCCTCTTGTTGCAAGTTCTGGATTCAAATTTCCATACATTTCAGACACTACAGCTAAATGGATGATAACTTTCCCATCTCCACCCCACCCCCCAAAGACAAGAAAGACAGTTTTCCTCTGATACGTCCATTTCCAAAAAAGGGGGAATTTACTAATCAGAGGTGAAGATTTTGCTCCCACAGGAAAGCACTGACCACATCTTTTTGCTGTGTGTTATCAGAGAACCCCAGAGCTCAAAACAAAGAATCTTTTTAGCAAATAAAGACCCCAAATCAGTGCCCTCAGGCATGGATTTCTCTGGATTTGTAACATTTGATATTCACTGGGTTTCCTGAATCTGTAGGTTTATATCTTTGGTCAAATTTGATGAGTTTTCAGCTATTGCCTCTTCAAACATTCTTTTCTGCAATCCAGTCTTTCTCTTCTCCTTCTGAGACTCTATAACACAAATGTTAGACCTTTGACTTTGTCCCATAAATCCTTAAGGTTCTGTTCACTTTCTCATTTTTCTCTCTCTGCTATACAGATTGGATAATTCCTAATGGTCTATCTTCAAATTCACTGACTTTCCTCCATCATCACTGTGCTATTGAGTCCAACCAAAAAATATTTAATTTTGGTTATTGTGTTTTTCAAGTATAAAATTTTCATTTGGTTCTTCTTTGTCTTTTCTTTCCTTTGGGAAGCATTCTAACATTCCATTCACTTCAAGAGTATTTTCCTTTGTATTTGGAACATTTTTATAATAGCTGTGTTAAAGACTTTGGTAATTCCAACATCTGTGTCCTTCGGCATTAGCATCTGCCATTGTCTTTTCCCATGTGAGTTGAGATTTTCCAGTTCTTTTTATGCTGAACATTTGGAATGTGCCAGTTCTTTTTATGCTGAATATTTGGAATGATATGAGACTATGGGTCTTATTTAAGTCCTATGGAGAATGTTGATATTTTTGTTTCATTTTATTTATTTGAGAGAGAGAGAGAGAGAGAGCATGCATGAGTGGGGTGGGAGGGACAGAAGGAGGGATGGTGCCCACCTGAGCTGAAGGCAGCTGCCTAAATGACTGAGCCACCGAGTTGCCCCAGTATTTTTGTTTTAGCAGACAGTTGATGAGGTTGCATTCAGGTCACAATTGCTAACCATCATTCTGTACTTTGAGATTTCAATGTTTGCTTGATTTTTAAAGACTTTGCTGTGGTATTCAGATCTGTTCTGCAGATGTACTACACAGTAGCCATCCGGGATATGGAAGATGCTTGTCCCAGAGTTCGCTTCTCTAAGTCAGACCCACACATGCACGTGTGCAGTGCATAAGCAATGTTAGAGGCTCACTTTCCTGAGATCCTCTCTCTGTCACCTTTCCAGTTCTCTCTTGTTTCCTGGGACTGCCCTCCTGCTGGAAGTTACTCCATTCTGCCATCTACTTCACACATGTATGCTGGGCATGGGGCCACATGAAGGGAGGAAAGAGAGAGAGACAAAAAGCCCCAGGGTTTCTTCCCACCCTCTTGGAGACTAATAACCACTTTTAAAAAGGGATTTCAACTGAAGGACTTGTGTGTTTGCAATGCACTATACCATGCCTGAAATTACCCAGTAAAGAATGGTTTCATTTTGTTGTTGTTGTTGTTGTTGTTGTTTTCTAAATCATGGAGCTGGTACTGGGAATGGTATTGTGCATGCAGGTCCCAGTCCAGTGGCGGCCCTAGAATTTCTATATATAGGAGGATTTAGGGACAATGGTCCAACTGGGAGAAGGCTGGGGCTTTTCAAAGCTGTATTTGCCCAACACAGCACACATAACTGGGTTCATACTGGTTTGACTTACCTGGTAAACTTAGTTGGGTGACTTAAAGCCACTTGTCCCTAGATTGTATGTTATTTCATTAGTAGATGGGGTGACAAATCTTTCCAAATACTTTCCAAAACCCAAAGGAGCACAGAAGATAGGTGAGTAAAGTAAATTAAGTTAGAAAATGACTTTTAATAATTTTAATGCAAGCAACATACTTTTCAAAATCTTTCAAGATCAAGTTAATTTGCATTTTTAGTAAACGACACTGCAAACTAAACAATAGGCATGTTGCTGAAAGCAGAACCTAAGATAATTCACATTTTAAGTTCATTGGTACAGTTCTTTTAAAATCATGTGATAAAGACTTGTATAAAATGAGTAATTACTTCATCATAGATCCTTGGTGGAAATATACATTAAATTTAGGAAATAATTGTTCATATAACAGTTTGCAATTCTTTGTTTTGCTTTTAAAAGGGGGAAGTGCATCATGATTCCCCTAAAACCTTGTTGCCCAGTAAATCAGTAGACCTTTGGTTTTCTGAGGCCACATAATGAAAGATCTCACTGAGCAGGATAGGGAGCAGGTGAGCCACATCAGAGGTTGTCACACTTGTGTCCCCAGCCTGTCCTCATTTGTGTCGCAATGTCCTCACATTTCTAAAATGGAAGTAGACTTGTCCATCCAGGCCAGTCATCACTCCATTTCCCCATAAGGTATTTTGCATACCGAGAAGAAACTTGTCCTTAACCCGACTGCTTGTCAATTTAATGAGAGAGTATGACTTAGTTGGGAGCACTAGTCCAGGAGGGGGTCTGCCCAGATCCCTTTCCCATTCTGCCATTAAACCAGCCTTCACCACGCAAACTTCAGCTTCCTCACTGCAAACTGAGAGTGTAGAACTAAATACTCCTTTCCAACCCATGCAATTCTGTGATCCCATGAAAAAATTCATTCGAAAATAATCACCCAAATAGCAAACATTCTCCAAACAAACCTGGATTAAACATCATCAATGCGTTCTTTCACAGACGGGACATGAAAGCTTTTGGTGTACACGTTTCATGTATTGAACCAGGATTATTCAAAACAGGATTATCAGATCCAATAAAAGCCACTGAAAAAAAACTCGCCATTTGGAAGCATCTGTCTCCAGATATCAAACAACAGTATGGAGAAGGTTACATTCAAAAAAGTAAGTCTCTGGGTGGGCCCAGGGTTCTTCTGGAGTTCATTGTCCTAAGCAACATGAAGGAGACTCAAATACAAATGAAAAAACAAGGTTTTGTTAATGATATACCAATAGGGAGATAACATATGGATTAAAGATCCCTATTAATTCCAGTGCCATCTCTTACTTCAACTGTTTACAAACATTTACTGAGCATTTACCCACTGCCAAATCCTACCTTATGAATTCTATCATTTACTCCTCAAAAGAACCATAGGAGTAGTGAACAGAGGCTTGGAAAGGTGAATGTTCTATACACAGCTGTACAACTCCTCCCGGTCATGCCTAGACTGGAGCCCACAGTCTTCACTTCTATACAAGCCTCCTCTTTTTGGTAAACACCAACCACTCACTAAACATTGGTCAAGGATTTATGGAGTTTACAAAATACCAAGACTCAGACTCTGACCCTTAACCAGCTTAGTTTAGTGGAGGAGAAAAAGTAACCAGTGAGATTGTAAAACAATGAGACTGTGCAGAATGCAAGAAAATTGATCCTGTAATTCTTAGTCCCCAAAAGCCCAGAAGGGGTGCTAGACTGTACAGTCTCTAACTGCCCAAAGGAATTCAGAACTGGATGAAAGCATTGCTGGCCAGTGGCCTTTATGAGACAGGTCAGGTTTGAGTAAGGCCTAAAGGCCAGGAAGGAATTATCTGGGAGGAAGCCTTCCAGAGCAGGAATGCACGGGGAGCAGAGATGGAAGGCGAAGCAGCGTAAGTCAGACTGAGTCAGGGATGGAAATAATAGATTAGTGTATGATGACTAACATATAGTGAACATTTGGTACTTGCCACCATTCTAAGTGGTTTACATGGACTGCCTCATTTTAAATGCCTAAATAAACCCTGTGAAGTAGATATTCCCTGAATTGTCTAGAAACAGAGGCACAGAGAAGCTGCTTGCCCAGGGCCACACAGTAAGTGGAATGGCTGGCTTTGAACCCAGACAGCCTGACTTGGCCATTTAGTCTTGAGCCCTGCACGATCATGGGAACGGGGCATTAAGGAGCTGGTGGAACTTCCTGTAACAGGTCTCAAGCTCCACCTCAAACTTCCTGGTCATGTTTAAAGCTTAGTCGACATTCCTCAAACACTTACTGGGCTCCTGCTTTAAGTCACACAGGGCCCCACCTAACTTTGTGTCACTGTAACCTCAAAACTCTGGTCCTACTTCTTCACCTGGTGGGTTTGGCGAGAAAGCCAAGTGTGGCAAGGTTCAAGGCCAGAAGTTTTCAAGAGGGAGCCAAGAGCCAAGTCAGATCCACCTTTAGAATGACGGACTCCCCCAGCCACCTGACCCGACTGCACACGTATATGCACGCACATACACACACACACACACGTACACACACACGCACGCACACACATACGGAGAATGTCTGGTTTCACAAACCTCCCAGTGCTATCATGTCACTAGATGCTGAGAACCTCTGCTGTTAAATACTTGTGTTTCTCACTCATTATCAACTCTGAAAATTCTAACTAGGTTCAGAAATAAGGGCACCTGGGTGGTTCAGTCGGTTAAGCATCTGCCTTTGGCTCAAGTGATGATCCCAGGGTCCTGGGATCGAGCCCTACATAGGGCTTTGTGCTTAGCAAGGAGTCTGGTTCTCCCTCTCCTCCCTAATCGTGCTGTCTCCATCTCTCAAATGAATAAAAAAAATCTTTTTAAAAAATACCTCATTTAAAAGAGCTTCCTCTATTTGATATTAACACTGATACTTTCTAAATGCCTATAAATAGGTCATCAACTTCCATCTCAAAATTATTTTTGACTTGGTCCCTGGCTCAGGTGTTCCCTCTCAGAAATACCAAAAGGCTTTGAGCACAGTTTTGCACTGGTTGTTTTTATTAGTTTTTCAAACTAGGACTTGAACATCAGCCAGACTCATAATTCCCAAGCAGACCACGAATTTAAGCTCACCCTTCTTCACTTCCTAGACTATTAGTTGTGAAAGTCTAAAATAACCACTAAGACGTATTAGGTAATCTCAGGTTCTTTGAACAACTTGTGGCCACAGGAGCCTTAACTTGAAAAAGAGATTTAAAATCATAGAGTTTTCTCTTAGGAAGACACAACTCAGGTATGTTTTAAGAAAACTGCGGGAATGCTCTGAGCCATTACCAATCTTCTGATAAAATACCTGCTTCTCTAATAAAACGACCCTAGAACGTTACTCAAGCATTTCAGCTGCCTGATCACCAGGATATGTTTAGCTTTCTGAGTCAAGACTTTTGGGGATGATTCCCTCTCTATTCACCGAATTACAGAGACACACGGTATGTGAGTGCACGTGCACACACATGCACACTTGCACAGCCCCTCCCCATTTCCTAAACATATAGTAGTCCCTTAAAACAAATTTAGGATCAAACCCATAACTTCTTGTGCTCAGGGGCCTCATGGACTTTATAAAGTATCTTTCTCTCATTGCTTTAAGGTAGTGGTTCTCAAAGTCTGCTCCCTGAACCAGCACCATCAGCATCACCTGAAAACTTGATAGAAATGCAAATTATTGGGTCCCACTTCACACCTGCTGAGTCAGAAGCTGGTGGTGGAACCCAGCAACTGGGTTTTAACAAGCCCTCTAGGAGATTCTGCTGCCTACTCAAGTTTGAGAGCCAGCAGTCAAACGAAAACATTGCTGCATCCTTTTCTAAGGAATAGATAGAAACCCACCACAGGGGCCTCAATTTATAACAGCAAATTCAAAAGAAATTTTCACACACATACATACTCCCCTTTACACCCCGGCCTCATACACTCCTTTCCCCTTCTTCCAAAGAGTACATGTACTTTTGTCTCTTTCTACAGGTCTAGACAAGCTGAAAGGCACAACTTCCTTTGTGAACATGGACCTCTCCCTGGTGGTGGAGTGCATGGACCACGCGCTCACAAGTCTCTTCCCAAAGACCCATTATGTTGCTGGGAGAGATGCCAAGACCTTCTGGATACCTCTGTCTCACATGCCAGCAGTTTTGCAAGACTTCTTATTGTTGAAACAGAAAGTAGAGCTGGCTAATCCCAAGGCGGTGTGACCGGTGTGACTCAGCAGACAACAAATGCCTACCCCAGGCTATGAGATTGGCTGCTTTCAAGGGCATATCTCCTTTTTGGTCTCATTCCTTACCTAATCCAACCCAGACTCATTTAGATCATTTAGATGTGCTTCTTTGGTACACGAGGGAGTCCTACCCACACTGGGAATGTCCCAGGGTCCCTTCTTAAGCCTTCTTTGAGAAGAAGGGCAGCAATGACCTATCCCATAAAGGGCCATGATAGCACCTGCCCAATATTTAGGTTTTGTCTGCTTAATATGATGTAAGGGAAATTGAAAGCCTTTCCCATCCAACATGATCTCTGCCACTGCCAGCCCCATTGCCTCTAGCCCCCACACCTTGGACTCCAGAATGTTAATTATTTGTCCCGTATCAAAATGTTCAGAGAGAAGTAGAATACTTTCATGAGTGGGTTGGATGTCTTATTTGCTGAGAAGAAGACTCAGGAAGACTGGAACTCAGTTTTCTAACCTGTGGTGGGTCAGGGGAAGTAAGGGTGAGGAAGCATCATGTGACTCATACAAGCTAAGGGGAACAGAGAAACACTAGGGAGGATTGCAAGTAGGAGGATAGGGGAGGAGCAGAAGGACAAGAAGACTGAAAAGAAGAAACAAGTATGGAAGTGGAGGGAGGGAGAGTCCAAGACAAGCCTGCCTATTCTAGAGGGAGCTGTGGAAGCTGAACAGCCATTTCAAGGCGGCTGTGAACACGGATGCCCACACAGCTGTCTATGGAAAGCTGGTAACAAAAGTAACCACTTGTTCCAAAGAAGAAAAACAGAAGGTATTCATGTAATTATGATGACTGTAAATATAATAAGACCCAGAATATCTACAACAACTTAGACCCAAGATGGTTGGAAAGCCTGTATTTGAGGTGTCTCGGAAGCCCCATGAAGACATAGAGCTAAATTAAGACTCTAGCCTACAGTTACAGTGACAGCTGTAACTTGCTCTTTGCTCATATTCGTGGTCCTGATTGGACTGACCCTGGCCCCACACCGCATCCAAAAACAAGTTCTCTACACGGTTGCTTCTCCAGATAGCAGCACCCAGTATCACTCATGTAGGTTGGTTGACAATTCACATAAAAAGCCTGAAGTGTCAAAATTCAATATTTGTGGCTAAATTATATAGGGTGAAAGAGCCAGAAAAATTGCATCATGTACACACACAGACACACACATGCACACACACACACACACACACACACACACTTATTGTGAAGAAAATATTTAATATCTGCTGCATGAAACCATACCCATTTGAAGAGATCAGTAATGCTATTCATTTTTATCCACCTTTCTGGAAATAACTGTTCATGAGGTAGTCTCCTCTTCTCACATTTACAATGTATTAATGACTTTGAAAAAACAAATTTTCAATGGTGTCAGTCCACCTGGACATATATGTCATTATTTAAGGGAAAATACACTCATCCTTTTTGCATGAAAATGAAGAATTTCACAGCAGGAATCAGAAGAATTCTCAGGCAAAGTTATCTAAGCTATTGTCACTACCAACCCGGGAAGTCATCTCCATCTTGGTCGGGGTCCCACTGACAGCTCACCTTTAAGATCTCTGATTTCTTCTTGTTGCCAGTAACCACCCACGGGTTAGGGAACCCTCGCACAGCTTGTCCTTGGAGCTGAAGTTCATCAGCGTTGTTTACTGAGGCTCTTCCTTCTCACCTTGAATTCCCAGGTCCTGGCTTCATCACCCTGTTTTAAAAATGTCAGGCCCGCTGTCCCTGATCTTCCTGTCCTCCGCTGCTTTCAGGACTTTTAAAATCGGCAGGAACCTGCTTTGCTGGACGTCCAACCATTCCAGTTGTGTTGTGGGGTCTACCTAATGGTCTTATTCCCTTTGTTTCACCTGGACCTGAGTTCTTTGCTCATTTCTCCATGTAACTACAATTGGCAAATCCCTGTTTCATTCAATCCAAAAAGGGTTCTACTTAAATGAATGCTCCCAAATATGGTATCATCTCAAAACAAAATCAAATATACCCAAATTCACCCAAGCAACCTTGAAAGCTTTTAAAACTAAATGAGAAGATGACAGTATTTGGAATATAAAGGTATAGTCTCAACAAAAGCACAAGACCTGGAAGAAAGAGAAGGAGAGAGGAAGGGAGGGGCGTAAGAAAGTCATTGCACCAGGAGTCTGAGGTATGACTGCCTCAACTCTCTCCGTCTCACCATCACTTCTGATATTCTCTGTGCTCTTATGAAAATAATATATTTTTTATCTATACTATATGGGAGGACATATACTGGGCATTCTGCTAAGTCCTGGCCAGTAAGGAATGACATGGCTCCTTCCTTCATAGAGTTTATTATAATCCAAAAGCTGAGACTACTACTTGGGAGGCCTTAGAGTAGCTTCTCCAGGAATCTGTGGTCAAGCTAAAGTGAGATGTTGTCTTTCTACCACCTCTCGTTTATGGGACCCTTTCCTCACTTAGTTTGGAGGCACAAGGAGAACCTCCCAGACTTTTCCTCTGATCTGACCTAAAAAATCCCACTACATCCTCTGTAGCTCTATCTGGATATCCACAAGGTATTCACATCTGGAGTTCCTACCACTCTCATCCGACCTACCCTTTCCCAAGCAAGCACCAACTACTATCAATTTGATCTCCTAAGGAGATACCTCGTCTACTACTTTTCTTCTCCAAGGGATCATCTGTTCAAGCTTTCATCATCCCTTATCTCAATGGCAGTATATTTACCCTTGTATTCTTTCGATGATTTCTCCTCACTGCAGTCAGAATTATTCAGAATTCAGATCTAATTATTCTACTCTTTTCCCCACCACCTCTTTCTTAAACCCTCCAATGCGTTTCCATTGCATTTTGGCTAAGGACGAAAATGCATTACATAAATGATGTTGCCCCAGCACTTCTCATTAGCCTCATTTGAGGCTCTTCTCCTCCTCAGCTAGCCCCCTCAGACCCTTTGCCCATTCTCTTGCCTAGGAAGTTTCCATTTTTCTTGTTTATCTAGTTTCCTCATCCTGTAGATCTCAGACCCTTCCTCAGGGAAGCCTGTACAGTTCCAAACTCTGACCACAGTCTTTGTATCCCAAATTGGTTTCTGTCTTGTACAGGACCCTTATCACAATCTGTCATTACATATTTGTGTAATTAGTTTATTACTATGGGTCTCCCCAACCAGACTTTAAGTTTCATGAAATCAGGATCCATGACCCTTCGCTTATCTTTGTATTCCCTTGCCTAGCACAGTGCTGGCACACAGACCACTGTTCAAAAATATTTATTGAATAAATTTAGAAATCAGCCTCTATGAGCCTTTCTGACTAGGGGGCAATCTATCACTTAAGATAGGGCTTGCCAATCTCATTGATTGTGCTATTAAAGAATCAGTTTGATTAAAATCCTATAACTTCCTTAAGTCTTTGACTACTTCCTCAAGAGCTCCCTACCTCCTGTTTTTTCTGTAAGCCTCCCTTTGGAAACTAGTTGCCAACGGTCTGTTGGTCCCAAGACACTGTGAAGGAACCTCCGTCCATGTTGAGCCATTCTGGGCTCAGTGGTCACAGAACAGAGAGCATCAGGAATCATTTCATTCACTTCTCTGCCTTTAGGATGATATGGCCAAGCCAGCCAGGCTAAAGAGAGCCACTTCAATTTAAAGTCTCTCTGGGGGTGCTTGGGTGTCTCAATTGGTTAAGTGTCTGACTCTTGATTTTGGCTCAGATCATCATCTCAGGGTTATGAGGTGGGGCTCTGTGCTGGGCGTTGAGTCTGCTTATGATTCCCTCTCTGACCCTCCCCTCCTCTAAAAAAATTTAAAAATAATAAAATAAAATATTATAATATACTAAATTAAATCTTTTCAGAAACCCATAACTTCTTTGGGCAACCCAGCCAGTTTTTTTTTTTTTTTAAGATTTTGTTTATTTACTTGACAGACAGAGATCACAAGTAGGCAAAGAGAGAGGAAGGGAAGCAGGCTCCCTGCTGAGCAGAGAGCCCGATGTGGGGCTTGATCCCAGGACCCTGGGATCATGACCCGGGCCGAAGGCAGAGGCTTTAACCCACTGAGCCACCCAGGTGCCCCCAGCCAATTTTTAATAAAGAAAATAGCCAGGAGCTTCTAAGAAAAATGATGAATTTTGGCTTTATTCTCTAATAATCCCAATAATTCTCAGGAATGTGAGAGATCAGAGTCCCATCAGGATGGAGGAAATAGTTAAACAGTCTCAAACTGGAAAGCTGTGTAATGTATAGAAATTATTTGTAACAATCTAAACTAAGCCACAGTTTATAAGGACTATGCTGGTCAACAATTTCATGGATTTTTGCTTGTTAAAAAATAAGACAATTCTGTTGATATTCATAATACTGACATTCTTCCTCAACCCTGTGACTCATTTTCAAAAAGAAAATATGAATAACTTCCATCCTACTATATATATGAGGCACTAAAATAGTCAGGGCTCTGGTGCAGATTCTAGTTTAGCTGAATCTTGGAGCTCTTTTTGCACACAGCACCTGCCCGAGAAAGAACCAGATCACAGCTCTTGGCTGATTAGTCCCTAGAAATAAATAGCACTCTGGCCTGAAATGGGTCAGGCAAGGCAGCGTAGCATTCTGTCACACTCTACAACCAGCAACTGCCCTGAACAGCTCCATTTCAGTCCCTTTTGAGAAACTGGACATGGAAAGGATTCCACTATAGATACATAGCATAAGACCTGGGCAAAAACCATTCAGTCCTATCCTGAGGCAGGGGTGGGGTTTGCTAATTACTCTCAGCCATCTGGGTCTGTTTTTGCTCTTAGATATGGCAGCTGGAACTTGAGTACGATGCCACCCAATGAATGGTGGTGCCTGGGTTTGGGATCAGTAATCCAAGCACACTAGCTTCCTACAGGTATAATAAGAAAATATTATCGATGATTATTTAATACTTAGTATGTGTTAGGTTCTTAATGCATTTGGATATAGCACAA